TGCTTGGCCTGCTGTGTTCATCCAGCACTACACCTTGTTATCTCAGATTCTCCAGCATTGGCAGTTCCTACTATTTCTTCCATGAACTGTGACTCTGTTGTCACATCAGTTGCTACTGTCCCTTTTATTCCATGAGCTCTAATTATGCTCACAAATCTGTAGTGCAGCTCGTTTTCAAATGCCTTCATATGCAAACAGGCCATTCGGCCCAACAAGCCCACACCACCCCTCTGAAAAGCATCCAACCCAGACCCATTCCCTTACATTTCCCATGTCTAACCCACCTAACCTAAACATCCCTGGGCACTACGGGCAATGTAGCATGGCCAATTCACCTACCCTGCACATCTTTGGACTATGGGAGGAAACCGGAGCACCCGGAGGAACCCCACGCAGACACAGGGAGAATGTGCAAACTCCACACAGACAGTCGTCCGAGGCTGGAATCAAACCCGGGTCCCTGGTGCTGTGAGGCAGCAGTGCTAACCACTGAGCCACCGTGTCGCCCTCTGGAAGCCCATGAACACCACATCAATTGCATTACCCTCACCAACCCTCCCCATTGTACCTGTTATCCTGAGAGCTTTACTTGGGAAAGCTTCCATATCTAAGACACAGAATTCACTGCTGCCCTCACACCACCCCCATGGGAAAGGAGCCATTACAATGTCACTTAGCTCTAAGTGAGACAGAGACTGATTCAAAAGATTAACTGGATTGATGGATGACTAAGGAGAGGGTTGGAGGAATGGAGTCAGTGGATTGTTCATTAAGAAGGCGTCAGGGGCACATGGAGGTCTTGTGACACAGTGGGCATCAGGCCTGCCCCTCGGGCCAGGAGCTCTGGGTTTGAATGCCACTGCAGGACGTGATGGGCAGGGATGGTACAACTGTGATGTGGCCACATTAGAATGGGCATCAACTCAGTGGCAGTAAGAGCGGGAGAGATTTCCAGTTAATTATAGAACGAGGAAGATTGCTGGAACCTCTGCCAGCACTCTCCACAGCTCCAAATTACAACATGCCTGTAAAAATGCACGTTATCAGCTGAACTGTAACACACAGGGGAATGAGATCAAAGCTTGTTGATTAAGGGGAAGCTTGGGTGAGATTGATGGATGTGAATCAAGTAGAGGGAGGGGAGTGACATCGCTGGGCTTTTGATTAAAGGAAGGGGAGTGGCTGGAGTGAAGTTGAATGACCTTTGAGTAAGGAGGCAGTGGCAGAGGAAAGGGGTGGAATGAGGAAAGATTTGGGGTGTGAGAGTTTGAGATGGTGCTGGTTGACGGAGTTTGGAGCAATCTGTCTTACTCCCACAGGGGGAGGAGTGGAGAGTTCGGGCGTCTGCTTTCCAGCTCGCGTGTGACAGGATCGACCAGCTCTTTCGACAGTTCATGAGCAGCTCCAACAAGGCAATAGTCTATGACCTTTACCCTTACCTCTGGGACATCAGGAACACACTTGTGGTTACCAAGGCCTTCGTGATGTGGCTGGGTGAGTGAGAGACTCCACTTACACTGTTTGTGCTAAAGACCAGGAAACAGGGCTGTTCTCCAGAGGGACTGTGGGGGTGACATTGACCTCGGCTTTGCTTGTGAGCCCTAGGGAGTCACTTTCCATGTCTATCAGGGATAGTAGCAGACTGGGCAACCAGTTCATCTTTCTAAATGAATACTGCCCAAAGGAATAATTAATAATTCAAACATTGGGCTTTAGCAGGTGTCATTCAATAAGATCGTGGCTGTTCCGTTTGTGGTCTCAGTTCTGGTCTCTATTGGAATCGATCAAAAATTTATTTAAAGTTAATTTCACTCTTGTCTATAAGTAATTACCCTTCTAAATAAACTGCACATGCGTGCACACACACACACACACACACACACACACGTGCACGCATGCTCAGACACAGAGTAACAGGAAAAGAAAATATTTTCTCTGCAGGGATTAACTCTGGGGGAATATCTTTGGCCAATAATTCTTAATTCTTGAAGGATAAAGTGAGAATATGTGAAATGTTCAAGATGGCGTTCAGTTGGCATCCTGGCACACGTAAATGAGTGTCTCTAAACACAGACGGTTGTTGCGGGGATGTTTGCGGATGCAGCTTGTTCGGGAATTGTGAGGAAAATCTGTTTCGGAGGCTCTTACAGGACACCAGCTGGATCACAGTGGACCCTCATAAAGGGATCTCGCAGAAAGGCAGTGGATAAGTTTGATAGTGACTTTCACAGCAGGCTATACCCCAAATGAGTTCCTAACCATATCACATTAGCCACAGACCCAGACATGTGACTTTCAGTAAACCCAGCAGCTGTCAACCCTGGCTGTTTACTTGAATACTACTTCGTTTGATTTCCAGTAAGGTTTTTTTTTAAATACCCCAATGCTCTTTCAGTGAACCCATCTAAAACAAAACCAGGTATCTCATAAATCTTTTCAAATGAACCACTGTCCACAATCCTTTAAATCTGAAAGCTTAAAAAAAAGGAACAACTTCCTAACAGTGGAGAGTAAGGTAATGGCTGTTATGGGAATTAATATGGTGATAACTCTGCATGCTTGTAACAATCACTTGTTAATAATGAATTATTTTTCCGTAGATGGCAGAATTGAGAGGGACACCTATTCATTCAACTCCTGGATGAACTGCTTCCAATGTGAGTGGAGTTTTAATAACATCATAACTCTTGTTGTGATGTAGAATCAATAGCAATAATTTGCTCTTTATGAAACAGTAACACGGTAAGACATCTCAGGATACGCTACAGGAGAGTTTTTGTTTAATTCTTTATTTGATCATGGGATTTGAGCGTCACTAGCTATACCAGCATTTGTTGCCCATCCCTAATTAACATGTCACATTCTGTGGGAGCTTGCTATGTACACACTGCAACTGTGCTTCCCCCTTTTGGCAACAGAGCATGTTCCTCAAACATAGTTCATTTGGCTGTAAAATGACTTGAGATGCATATCTCTTATAGCAATTAAAAGATTAATATCTCATAGCAAGAGCAATAATCACAATATTAAGACTATTGCACATTGGGGAGACGATGGGCTAGTGGTATTATCTCTGGACTGTTAATCCAGACAGTCAGGTAATACTTTGGAGTATTATGCGCAGTTTTGGGCCCCATATCTCAGGAAAGATGTACTGGCCCTGGAGCGAGTACGGAGGAGGTTCACAAGAATGGTCCCAGGAATGAAAAGCTTAACATATGAGGAAAGTTTGAGGACTCTGGGACTATACTCATTGGAGTTTAGAAGGATGAGAATACTGAATGGCCTGGACAGAGTGGGTGTTGGGAAGATGCTTCCATCGGTAGGAGAGACTGGGACCCGAGGGCACAGCCTTAGAGTAAAGGGAAGACCTTTTAGAATGGAGATAAGGAGAAACTTCTTCAGCCAGAGAGTGGTGAATCAGTGGAATTCACTGCCACAGAAGGCTGTGGAGGCCAGGTCATTGAGCATATTTAAGACGGAAATAGATAGGTTTTTGATTGTCAAGGGGATCAAGGGTTACGGGGAGAATGGGGTTGAGAAACTTATCAGCCATGATTGAATGACGGAGCAGACTCGATGGGCTGAATCGCCTAATTTCTGCTTCTATGTCTTATGGTCTTATAGTAATGTTCCAGGGACTTAGGTTCAAATCCTGCCACAGTAGATGATGGAATTTGAATCCAATAAAAAAAAATCTGGAATTAAGAGTCTAATGATGACTATGAATCATTGCCAATTGTCAGGAAAACCCATCTGGTTCACTAATGTCCTTTAGGGAAGGAATTCTGCCATCCTTACCTGATCTGGCCTACATGTTACTCCAGACCCACAGCAATGTGGTTGACTCTAAACTGGCCTCTGGGCAATTAGGGATGGGCTAGTTTAGCAGTGATGTCCTCAACTTGTGAATTATTAAAAAAAAAACCATGTTGGTTATGTCTGTGGATCAATGTTTGGTGACATAACAGATGGGGTAATATGTTAGCTGATCATTGCAGCCGCTATAGTTTTGCGCATTTTCCGGTGGCCTGATTATAATGGAATCCTGACTGCCAATGAGATTCAGTACAGCAAGATTCCACTAAAATGCTTCTGTTTTTGTCATTTACATCTCCTCTAGATTGCTGGTTTCTTGTCATTATTACTAATCCCCTTCTGCTCTGTGTTGTCTGTGTACCTTGCCTCTAAGAGAGAGTTCACCTTTCAGGACCCCGTGCACTCTTAAATATACAATGCTGTGACTCTGCATGGCATTTATTCTGCTGTGGGTCTGTAAAGTGCACATGCAATGCAATCAGTTGGTTTTCTGTAATGTCTGCTTTATAACGTTATTGTATTAAATAAACTGACCCATGGAGTTGATCAATGCCTGACATACAGTTGATTATCAGACCACTTTCATTAATGAGACATCTTGTACCTCAATGACATGCTGTGCCTTTAAGAGATGTGTTCTGTCCCATTTCTCTTGCAGAGGGGTTTTGTCACATTGGTGATGAGGTGTCTGCCCCCAGCAGGCAGTTTGTAAATAGCTTTGGGTTTCTCCCTAGATGTTTATTCAGAATAAGGCAAGAAAATGATGAGTGGGCGGGATCAGACCCTGAGGACTTTTGTTTCCCTACAGTTATTTTTGTTATTTAGCTGCTGGAACAGATGGCTAGAGTTCTTTCTGCTGCTAGATTGGAGACTAAGAGAGATTTCCTCTTAGAAATCAGAAGGGGCAGATTGTTTCTTTCTACAGAACTGGAGAGAGACAGTACAGGAGAATAATAACTGTGTTGCTGAATTGACAAAGGATGTGTTTATGGAATGCTGCCTGTAATGAAACAGTTGATGATTAGTGGTTAAATAATATGTTATCCATACAATAAAGTTTAGTTGCATTTTAACTGTGTTGTAAGAATAAAGTGTCTTTTGATTAAAGCTTAGTGGTTGACCAGTCAAATTATATCTGGAACACAGAGTTTTACACATGACTGTAAAATAAAAGTTAAAGTCTGGGGCATCCCCATGATATATTTTGTGAGAGGTTAGTCTGGTCTCTAAGACCTCCCACCAAAAGATATCAAAAATAGGTGGGAGAACACATTGTGATGGGGACATAAGGAGTCTGTAGGGGTTATATATGGACTGAATGAGTGGGGTTTAACATGGGAAACTGTGAGGTCATGCTCTTTTGGTAAGAAGAATCAAAAGGCAGACGATTATTTTAATGGAGAGAGACTCCAATAAAGGGCAGCACAGAGGGACCTGGGTGTTCTTAGACATGAAACACAAAAAGTTAGCATGCACGTGCAGCAAGTATTCAGGAAGGCAAATGGAATTTTGGTCTTTTATTGCTGGAGCGGGGTTAGAGTTTAAAACAGGGAAGTCTTGTTACAACAGTACAGGGTGTCGGTGAGGCTGCAGCTCAAGGACTGTGTACAGTTTTGGCCCCCTTCTTAAGAAAGGATATACTGGCATTGGAGGCTGTTCAAAGGAGACCCATTAGGCTGGTTCCTGGGATGAAGGAGTTGACTTATGGCTCAACTGGTTACACCTTTATTCGTTAAAGTTTAGAAGAATGAGGATTGATCTTATTAAAACAAGCAAGATTCTGACAGGGTAGGCATTGAGAAGATGTTCCCACTGGTTGGCAGAAAAGGTGGTGGTAGTAGGCTGTTTGAGTGACTGGAGACCTGTGTTCAGTGGTGTACCACATAGAACATAGAACATAGAACATAGAACATTACAGCGCAGTACAGGCCCTTCGGCCCTCGATGTTGCGCCGACCTGTGAAAACCAATCTGAAGCCCATCTAACCTAAACTATTCCATTATCATCCATATGTTTATCCAATGACCATTTAAATGCCCTTAAAGTGGGCGAGTCAACTATTTTTGCAGGCAGGGCATTCCACGCCCTTACTACTCTCTGAGTAAAGAACCTACCTCTGACATCTGTCCTATTTCTATCACCCCTCAATTTAAAGCTATGTCCCCTCGTGCTAGCCATCACCATCCGAGGAAAAAGGCTCCCACTGTCCACCCTATCTAATCCTCTGATCATCTTGAATGTCTCTATTAAGTCACCTCTTAACCTTCTTCTCTCTAACGAAAACAGCCTCAAGACCCTCAGCCTTTCCTCATAAGACCTTCCCTCCATACCAGGCAACATCCTGGTAAATCTCCTCTGCACCCTTTCCAATGCTTCCACATCCTTCCTATAATGCGGTGACCAGAACTACTCCAAGTGCGGCCGCACCAGAGTTTTGTACAGCTGCAACATGACCTCATGGCTCCGAACCTCAATCCCTCTACCAATAAAACCTAACATACTGTACGCCTTCTTAACAACGCTATCAACCTGGGTGGCAACTTTCAGTGATCTATGCACATGGACACCGAGATCTTTCTGCTCATCCA